GAAGTAACAAACATCAACTTGGAAGTAATGAGCTGAACAAAGTGTCATTAAAGTCGACTTTTCTTGTCAGAAAAGGCATTTTGTGTTCGCTGCACTAAGTCGTGAGATAGCAAGTTGAATACGAAAAGAGCCAGTTTCTTTAAGAGTACCGCTAATACTGAAATAACCACTTTTGTAATATCTGTACTTCGATTGATTTCTATTTCTAAATATTTTCACTTTACAGCTTTTTGGATGAAAGCATTCGCATCTGAGGGTATAGCCACATAGATAAAAAACTGCCCATCATTTCCGTGTTTTTAATAACAATTCATGGACAGCTTAATCTTTTTCTACGACTTTCTGGATGGGCATATCGTTACAATGTGATAGATTGCAACGACTTGTGCGATGGTCTCGCCTTCCTTATGTTTCTTGGCGAAATTTCAGCCTACAGAGTGCGGCCGTTTTTTAATCAGTTCATGCATCGCATAACGCGCAGAAAGAGTCTTGAATATTAGATGCCGCGGGATCAGTAAGGAGAAACAATTGACGTTGTTTGTTGCTTTTGCAGCCAGCTGCGTCGGAAAATATTTTGAAGCTTTTGAACCACTTTGCCATTGGTGAGCGAGAGAATTTTGATCGTCATGGGATCAAACGGCAGAATTAAAGCGGTATTTAACAACCACGGGCTCAATAAATCCTCGTCGCCAGTGTAATAACGTGTAATAATAGTTTTCTTCCGATCGGTTTTTATCTTTAATGGCTGCCTATCCTTTTGCGCAACATCACAACACGACAGCACATGCTCGCTCTACGAATTTTACTCTCTAAGTTCGAAAAGTATGCTTTACGTACCATAGCATTTTGTCAACTATTGACTATTACTGTTAACTACTCGATTCTGTAAAAACAAGGCTCGCGCACACACTAATCCAAGTAATAAAATGTAGGGCTAAAATTCACGAGTTTTATACCTGCTAGCATTCTGCATATATTACGGTCACACTACAATGTACACTAATTAGCAACGATTCTATTTTGATGAAACGTAAATGGTGGCATGAATTGTTGATTATGCAACAATTACAATGTCCTCTCATCTACGTTTATAACCTCTCTCCTGTGGGATGAAAATTGAAAAAAAAAAAACTATAATTCACCTTCCCTTACCGAAATTTGTGCGTGTGAGAAAACAAAACATAACACAAGAAATAAGCAGATCCTTTGAAGTGACTTACTAAGTTTAATTCTTGAAATCTTGTTTTGAAATTAACAAAGATCCCTGTAGCGAAAATGGGAGGCAGTAACGTATTTGAGCGATAGAATATTAACATTCTCTCCTACTAGATTACGATCCCAGACAGCTTGAATCTTGCGTCTTCATCGGCCGGATTGTGTAACTTTGCTCAGTTTTCAAAACGAATCAAGCAAAAAATATTCTTGCAAATAGGTTTTTTCAATAGTCAGAGGAACGGTATGCACAGGGGCGATAATGTACCCACCATCAAAAACACTGGTGAAGCGGCGGAATCATCGAGCGCGCTGGCTATAGTTTTTCACGGGTGTATATTTGCCTCATTAAAAGCCATTTTTCTCGTATTTCTTACTTAGTTGTGACAGCATATTAATGAACTTTAGGATCATGACTTAGGAGGAACAAAATAGTCTGTATTTAGAACCGATTCCGCTTTCAGTTCCCGTTAAGAAGTTTTTT